AAGTGTGGAGAAAGGTTAACTTGCGGTAGCAAGCCGAGACGCGAAGCTCGAGTTTCTCCCAGCGTCTAGCTGAGAGCAAGACTGCTCTATCGTAATGAGAATTAATTATGCTAAAAATTCGACTCTTGGGTATAGTCATAGTAAAAAAGATAAAAACTGAGCACCAAGAGGAATGAAATTTAAAAGTTTAAAAATTTAATAAGCTGAGCTTTCGTCAGAACCGTCTGACATCATCAGGGCGTTAAAACAGCAATCTGGGAGAAACCCTTATAAAGTGTCAATCGCCTGCATCCGGCTTCTGCTACGCGTCACCGGACCCAGCTGCTCCTGCCGTGCTAGAGGCAAGGTGCCTACTCTAGTGTAAGGGGTCCCTTTAAGTGTTTTGACGGCTTCCTCTGCTCCCATCCTCCAGGTGGGCGGAACCCTTTCCATCCCCCCCGTCCGGAGCGTGCCGATTCCTTTCTTCTCCCTTCTCTCACCGTTCAGACGTGCAGTTTCCTTTCCCCCCATAGGGGCTGTCTCCAGTCCTCCATCCTCCCCCCTCCCTCTCTCTCTCCCCCCCACCCCCTCCCTTTCCCCTGCTCTCTCTCCTCCCTCTCTCTCCCCCCTTCCCCCTTCCCTCTCCCTCCATCCACCTGTCTCTCTCTCCCTTCTTCTGATCCATCAACCGCCANCTCCTCCCTCTCTCTCCCCCCTTCCCCCTTCCCTCTCCCTCCCTCCACCTCTCTCTCTCTCCCTTCTTCTGATCCATCAACCGCCACATGGAGATGTGCCCGGCGCAGCGGACACTTAGAGCGTGTGCATGAATCACCCCCTGGGGCATCGGAGGAGGACAGGACATGATGGACAGCCCCGTCAGGAGCAGGAAGTGGGAGATGCCCCGCATGCTCGGATAGAAGGCCTTCCCCCCTGCCGACAGGCGGTACCGGTAACGGACCTGAAACCCCCAAGGGAAATCCCCTGGAATGCGGGACGGAGCACGCACGCCATGATGACGCGGTCCCGCCTGAACAAGCAACAGGATCCCCTGAAAAACAATGATGAATGCATGAGGCTTGGGACACGGCAACGGCAACCCCCTCCCCCCTCCCCTCGCCCTTCAGGAGCAGTACTGACTCACCCCACAGACCAACAGCCGTCCCAATTAACCCCCTTGGCGGTGGGAGGGAGAGGAGTGACCCGTGTCCGCTGGGGAAGGGAATGAGATCCCCAGCAGAGGGAATGTAAGGATGCTCGGGGAGGTGGGGAATGGAGGGCTAGGAAGGAGCAGGAGGTTCCTGGGGTGGGGAAGGGTGGGGGGGCAGAGACAGAGTGCTCAGAAAGTAGGAGGGGGATGGAGCCGGGACCGGAGTTAGACTGTCGGGATCACCGTGGCTATTTTAAGGTTGAACCGGACGGTTGCCGACAGAGGAGGGGGTGGAGCGCCGAAGCGCGAGGGTTAGGGAGCTTGGATGCTACGCATACATGGCCCGTTGAGAGCGAGGATCAGAAGAAGGGAGAGAGAGAGAGGTGGATGGAGGGAGAGGGAAGGGGGAAGGGGGGAGAGAGAGGGAGGAGAGAGAGCAGAGGAAAGGGAGGGGGTGCGGGGGAGAGAGAGAGGGAGAGGGGGGAGGATGGAGGACTGGAGACAGCCCCTATGGGGGGAAAGGAAACTGCATGTCTGAGCGGTGAGAGAAGGGAGAAGAAAGGAATTGGCACGCTCCGGACGGGGGGGATGGAAAGGGTTCCGCCCACCTGGAGGACGGGAGCAGAGGAAGCCGTCAAAACACTTAAAGGGACCCCTTACACTAGAGTAGGCACCTTGCCTCTAGCACGGCAGGAGCAGCTGGGTCCGGTGACGCCTAGCAGAAGCCAGATGCAGGTGATTGACACTTTATAAGGGTTTCTCCCAGATTGCTGTTTTAACGCCCTGATGATGTCAGGCGGTTCTGACGAAAGCTCGGCTTATTAAATTTTTAAACTTTTAAATTTCATTCCTCTTGGTGCTCGGTTTTTATCTTTTTTACATATATACATATACATATACACAGGGCTTTTTTTTGTCATAGAACGCCCAGAACGGAGTTCCAGCACCTTTTTTGGATGGAACCTTGTAGGGTAGGCAAGGCGGGTTGTATGACATGTGTGAGTTCCGGCACCTTTTTTTTTTCTTCAAAAAAAGCACTGCATATACATATACATATGCATATACGTATACATATACATATTATAGGAAACAATTTATAACACATTATATAATAAAATAAGTTACTTTATTATAGGTCCAGACCAGCAACATAAAGTGCAGATTTAGAATAAGTAACTATTTATAGATGATAAGTAAATCTACAATAATCATTATACAGTATAGCAAAACTATGAAGTCAATTAATAATTGCATTGGGCCAAGTCTTAAACCTTCCTAGTCCCGGAAAAATAGCATTTTTCCCAAATCAGATGTTTAGTTTACAAGCAGAGCTAGTATGTATTCCCCTCATTTCTGAATTGCACAGATTACCTTCAAGGTACTTAAACTGCAGAAAGGTTGATCCATCTTTGTAGAATTCCTACTCTCATGTTTGTTAATTAAAATATATGAATTATCAAGAAACAGATTCTGGCTAAATATTCTAGAGCAATTCAACAAAGCAACTCATTATGAATGTGAGCAGCAACTGGACAACATCTATAAAGTATAACTTAATTAGAATTCCTGCTTTGAGCAGCAGGTAGAATTGATGGTCTAAATCTGAGGTGGGGAACGATGATGGGGAATGATGGCCCCTTTATGACTTGTGGACTCTAACTCACAGAATTCCTGGGAGTTGAAGTTCACAAATCATAAAGGGGGCACCATTCCCCACCCCTGGTGTAAATGGCCTTTTTTGACACCCCAGGGCTCAGATTCTTTGCTGCCAAACGTCTGCTGCAGAAGTTCCAATGATCTGAATAGTTTCTTCTAAGACTATAGTTACAATTTACTTAACTCAAACTCAGCCCTCCCTTCCTCTTTTCCCCTTTACTAGATATGACACAGTAAGGAAAGGGAATGAGATGGGAAAGAGAGAATGCTAAGGGAGGATGAGGTGTGATCAGAATATTACTGATTGGAATCATAAGGAGCTTCTGCCAGGCCTGAATATGTACTGCTATTTCTACTTCTGTCCATAGTTTCAGATTAATTTGCAATGGTGCTGTCATTTCCTGCTCCTCTGCTGTTAACCTATATACTGTAAGCATGTGTGTTGCTGCTGCTTAATTGTCTTCCATCTAGCTTAATGCTTGTGAAATTCGTGTGCCCTTGGAGAATTTCATTTATCATATAGCTGATACCTCCTAGAATAAGCAGTTTGCTTCCATCTGAGTGTAGCCAGTTGGAGATTTTAAACTTTCTCCAGTTTTCTTCTTTTTATTTTTCTATTGATTCAAGAGAAACTGACAGAAAGTAGGAATGGTACATATGGATGTCTTCCATTAATCTGAATGCCCCTCTTCAATTGTTCAATTACCATGAATAAAGCTGTAACTGTCATTCTGAAATACTCTATAATTGTTACTTTATAACAATACATGTAATAATATTTCATTACAGTTCTTTAGTCATAAGATTAAAAACAGAAATAGTAAATTTAAAATTAAGAAACTCTGCAGTATGATAATCTTCCTACAAACTTTAGTTGGCATACCATATGTATTGGTCTGAGTTCATTTTTCCTGCAGAGTACTTAATCTTTTATGTTTGAAAAGCAACAGAATTGACTAATTCTTCTTTCAGAAAGCAGAATAGATGGAGCATGTTTATCAGGGCTGACTGATAAATGATTCAATAATTAAAACCATAGAAAGTTTGTAGAAAGAAAGGGGATTAAACTCACTTGTAGTTCTGTGAAGAAAACAATACTTATTGCCCCTAAATTTACAAAAAGAAATTTTAATCACAAAGTCTTTTTTATTTGTGCCTATCCTCAAATATTTCAGGGGAGAGGGAAGAAAACCCCTTTTCATTTTTGCAAGTTGTGTTTCGCACATGGCTGATAGTAGATTTCTTTGCTGTTGGATTAATTACAGTAGCTTTATTTCTCAGAGTTATTAAAGAATCACAAAAAGTTAGATTCTGCATTCAACATTCTCTGAGACACATTTGTATATTTGTGTTTGATGTCAGCTAACATCTCACAGAACTATTCAAGGAGTTGAATAACTTGGAACACCAGGAAAGGAGAAAGAGGCTTAATGGGAAAATGTAGAGAAGAGAAGAGATGAGGATCTTGAAATAAGTATATAATGAGAGAGATAGAAACAGACATATAACTAAAGTAATTGGGGAAAGTATATGTATGATATGATTGAGAAGAAAATTACTGACAGGAAGAAATAAAAATAAATCCAACTTGCCACCTGATTTAAGAAAAGAAAGTAAATCTTACATCCACGTTCTACTGCTATATGGTGCTATCTGGAGTCTGGCAGTTCATTACTTCTGTTCACAAGAACATCACAGGATTCAGTCTGAAATTGCATGTTATGAAATGATAAATAATTTTTTTACTGGTAGTCCTGAAACTATAACCACATTGGAGCCCAACATTTCTAGTTGTCAAATCAATGGTCCATTTGTCAAATCAATTGTTAAGTGAATTTTGCCTCATTTTATGACCTTTCTTTATGCCATAGTTGAATCGCGAATCATGCAGTCATGACTGACTTCTCTCATTGGATTTGCTTTTTGGAAGCCATCTGGGAAGGTTGCAAATAGTGATCACATAACACCAAGAAAGTGCAACTGTCATAATGACATGCCAGTGGCCAAGCATTTGAATTTTGATCATGTGACCATGGGGATGCAGAAATGGTCATAAGGGTGAACAGCAGTCATAAGTCACTTTTTTCAAAGTTGCTGTTGTAACTTTGAATAGTCAATAAGTGAATGGTTGCAAGTCAAGGACTACCTGTATTGAAAGACATCATTCTTTTTGAAGGAAATGCAAGAATAGGCTTTAAGCATTCTGTTTTCTACACAGGATCGAGCTCAAAATCTGGTGGAACGAAGAACAAGCACAGCCACCCTCACTGTTGATGTCCTTGATGGGGATGACCTTGGACCAATGTTCCTTCCATGTATATTAGTTTTTAACACTCGGGACTGCCGGCCACTCACTTATCAAGCTAGTTTGCCAGAACTCACTGACCCTGTAAGTACAAGCATGTTAATTGAATTCATTCATTCTGCATCTGTATTTAGTCATCACTAATTTTGCAGCACAAGCTTACAATAAGCAGACTCAACAGGGGCCAGCCATATATCCTGCTATGTCAGACACAGCCTCATTTTTGCAGCTGCATGCAAATTGCAAAGCCTGATTTATCAGACTCTTAGTGGATTCTTGTCAAGCTTCACTCCCAGACTGGCAATAAATCATACACCTCCAGACACTTAACCCTTAATTCAGCTCTCAGACTTGGCAAAAGTCTCCAGGTATGACTTGGTTAAATTGATGTCTTTATTGCACAGAAGAATGGAACCTCAAACATAACACTGGATTATTCACCTTACTATAAAAAAATTCTTATAAACATATACACTAGGTTATAACATTCCTGATTTTCTAAATTGACTGGTCACTTGATGGCTTGGGAGGTGATGTAATGGTATGTGGAAAAGACCTTGGGAGGCTGAGTAAAGAGATGCTAACTGATGAACAGATAAGAGACAGCCTAGCCCATGGCTGGATAGTGGGTAGAGCAAGAAAATCAGAAGAGACCCTCCTTAGTTTCTCAGGCTATAAAGGAGACAGAGAGAGAAATGTACTTTCTGACTTGCAAGATTAAGTCAATGTAATTTTATATAAAATAGAATTAGGTAATCTGATTATGTTACCTATCTAGTTTGCCAGTGAGACTGAGAGGTGATTGAAATATATTTAAATAGCAGCTTTCACTAGACTGGGAGTTGCTGATTTCTGCTTCTCCAGCTTTAGTAGTGATTCCTTAAGCCCATATAGTTAACATGACATAAAATACTAAGTATTTATTGGTCAGAGCCCTCCCTTTAACACACATCGAGGACACATTATCAAAATATGCATTAGTTAATAATCTCTGATATGGTTTATATGTTCTCCCCAAACTGATGAAAATGATATTAATAAAAATATATATCATGAACATAAATAAACCTTTGTAAACATGGTAAAAATTATAATAATTTATAAGCATTCTCATGTCATATTTTTATTTGCTTAATTTCCCTTTTACATTGACCCATTTATAAGATTTTTTGTATAAACAGTCTTTTCAGTTAAGAATAATATTACTTTGAATTGATCATAAATATTTCTTAAATGTAGCTTTTCAGAGTATTTTTACAGTGTAATATTTTTCAGTTGATTTTATCATTATCAGATTTAAAAGAAAAAAATACATATAGAATGTAATCATTTTTTCCCAGAAACATTAAAATAGCAATAGATTTGCAACATCATAATCAGAATAGAACTGGAAGGTACCTTGGAGGTCTTCTAGTACAGCCCCCTGCTCGAGCAGAAGTCCCTATACCATTTCAGACAAGTGACTGTCCAGTCTCTTCTTAAAAACCTTGAGTGATGAAGCACCCACAACGTCTGAAGGCAAGCTGTTCCACTGGTTAATTGTCCTCACTGTTGGGAAGTTTCTCCTTAATTCCAGATTGCTTCTCTCCTTGATTAATTTCCATCCATTGTTTCTTGTCTTGCCTTCTGGCATTTTGGAAAATAAGTTTGACCCCCTCTTCTTTTTAGCAGCCTCTCATATACTGGAATACTGCTATCATGGCTCCACTAGTCCTTCTTTTCTCTAGACTAGCCAAACCCAAATCCTGCAACTGTTCTTCATATGTTTTAGTCTCCAGGCCTTTAATCATCTTAGTTGCTCTTCTTTGCACTTTTTTCAAGGTCTCAACATCTTTATTGTAATGTGGTGACCAAAACGGGATGCAATATTCCAGATGTGGCCTTGCTAAGGCATTATAAAGCGGTACTAATACTTCACATGATTTTGATTCTATACCTCTGTTTATACAACCAAGGATTGTATTAGCTTTTTTGGCTGCTGCTGCACACTGCTGACTCATATTTAAGTGATCGTCCACTAGGACTCCAAGGTCCGTCTCCCAGTTACTGTTTTTGAGCCAGGTGTCGCCTAATCTGTACTTGGTTTTTCCTGCCCAGGTGTAAAACCTTGCTTTTCTCCACATTAAATATCATAAAAAGAATTAGACAGAGTGCATTATATTTATCTTTGGGACAATTAAGAGAGTTGGTATAACTTAACATTTTCCATTGAGAAAACTATTGTTGAAAGTATTGTCGTTCATGCCTAGAACTTTGTAATGGACTATGAGAATAACCATGGAAGACAAGAGGAAAATTTGCCATCCTGATAAGTGAAATCTGAGCCCAAAGGAGTAGAAGTTCAGAAAGCATCTCAGAAGCATTTCCCTAGTTTTCTGGGAAAGTAAAAGTGGGGAGGAGGAACATGCTTTCAGACTTGCAGGACAGATGTCAGCCCTTCAAGATAGTCCAGACAGGAAACCAAAATCACAATGCTTCTACTAATGCTTCCTTTATTATAAGGTTACAGTAAAAAAAATATTGCAAGACTGAAAGTATTTTCCCTCTGTTCTCCTGCTTTTACTTTCCGGAGAACTAGGGAGGGTCCCATGTTATTCCACCCCTAGCCTGCCTTCAGACTCAGATTTTGTTTATCAGACTGTTGACTGATAAACAATTAAGATTATTCCCACTTGGTGCTAAACGTGTTACTATGGCCATTTCCATATGTTGCTTGCTGGCTTCTTCCATGGTGATGTGGGAATGATAGAAAGATACTACAGCACTTTGATAGGTGAGAGAGGTCCCATCATTGGATAACTGTCTTTGCAAGAATAGGAAATGAACTGATAGCTGATTAGCTTGGCTTCTCATAATGTACTCAAGTTCTACGACCTCAATGGACTATAGGATTAGTTCATCTCATGCATATGGAAAGGACTCATCACCATTACCACCATCACTGTCTACTGATCAACTGGTTGAGGACCTTGCGATAGCCCTAGAAGTAATTTCTTGGATCTGTTGTTGCTATAATATAAATCATCCCCAAAGTGCCAATCCTGTAAAGGAAGCTTTCCTAGGATATAGAAAAGGTTGTATTATTTTTATCCTTTGTTAAAAATACATATGTGAACACATTCTAATTATAATAGATGTTTCTGTATTTTGAATCAGTAGGCTGGGAGGCTAACACCAAGGTTTGAATAATGTGAAGTGCTAAAAATGAAACAAATTCTTGAGGAACTTGTAATGGATTTTCTGGATGCCAATGCCAAAAAATTGGCATATTTAGAATGCCAATATTTTGTCTTCTTTTCCTGCCATAATGATGCTCGAATGGCTATCTAAATATAATGAGAACATCCATATTAATGATGTGGAATATTTGTGATGTGTTATATAGCTCAGTAACGGGGGGAAATAGTACTTTGCTTGCCTTCAACCAATAAACATTCTGATTCTAAGCAACAGACGCAGCATATCATACAAAGCTGTTACCTACCGAACATAGGGTTGAATATAGGGTTCGTTTCTTAATGAACACAAGCCTAAAACATAATTGCATAATTTAAAATCACAAAGACTGTGGAGTTTCATTTGTTTCAGAAATAAAGTATACATACATTCCAGCTGTGATGAAATGCCAACAGATCTTGGCAGCTCCAAAGAGGGTAGCAAGACAGTTAAAAGGAGGGAATGGGACCTTAAGAGATTCTGGAATCCAGGGGAGGAATAAACATGAAAACTGAAATTCAAAATAATTCCACCTGAATTACACTAGATATAAGTTGTATGGATGATTGCTTTGGTAGGTTTTCAAGATTCTGTTAAATTAACCTACTAGCAATGAAGATATTTCCAGAGATTTAAGTAGCTCATGTTCCCCAGGTTTTTCAGCCTTGGAAGTCTTGACATTATGGAAAGGTCAAGAGCTATCTATAATAAATTGTTTCTGTCTTATTTTCAATCTCATAATTATTCTTCATTATGGAGAGTTAGCAGATCTTTTGTTATTTTGTTAGCTCTTATTGTCTGCTCCTATGGCTCTGCTTAAAGTAATCCATTCCCAACTAGAGGGAGGACAGCCACAAGATTACTGGTCAACAGTAAGGAATATTGATATTCATGCTTTCGGTTATAAAGATAAGAGGAGAGGAGAGGAGATAACCTTTATTGTCATTTTTTTTACTGTGGGCACAACTGCATACATCAAAAATGAAATTTAGTTGCCCACTCTCAAAGTGAAACACATACATGACACACACCTAAACATACTATGTACAACATATGTATAGACCCACACCCCTACATATACACAGAGTTGTTAGATAAGCTTCAAGTTAGACTCTGATTGAGCAGGTCTTGGGCAGTCTTGTGATGTTATTTGGGCTAAGTTTAATTCTGTTACTTCTGATAAAGTGAACAAGTTCCTCCAAACTGTAAGTTCAGCCACCCATCTGCTAAAGGCTGCCCAGGAGGTGACTTCTGGATTGGTTTATAGTGTCTATGAAGATTCTCAGTCATCCAGGTCATGGTTGTCTCAAAGGCGCTTTTTGAAAAAGCAACTGATCTATGTTTTTTTTTTCTTGAAGAAGAAGATATTTTGCTTCTCCTCCAAGAAGCTTCATCGATTCTGACTGGATGGGGGCGGGGGGAGATGGAAGGATTAGTTCTGACATCTATATGATAGTATTGAGGGAGGAAACAGTTCCTGAAGCATTGAAAGTTTGGAAACAATTGTTTTTGCACTAAATATAATGCAGGGATTTTGTCAATAATTTCTGCAAATGTTCTCTTGGAGAAAATATAACTCATCAAGGTTCTGTATATATATATAAAAGAAAAGCTGGTTTGCTTCTAAGTTCTGTTGATCTTCATACAGCAAGCTTGATGTGTGTTTTACCACACACAAACTGTGTCTTGTTTGAGATGGACAACAATAGTGTAGTCATCATTGTATAAAAGATGGATTTGGAATATCTAAAATGAAAGTTCGAGGTTTTGATTGTCAGCCCGAGTACATCTTTTTCATGTATAATTATAGAATGCCCATATGCCAAACTCTTTGTGTTCCTTTATGAATAATGAAATGGTTGCTGTCT